TGACTGGTCTTAAATTGAGGATTATCTATACTTAAAAGGGCATTTCCAGGCCCAGAAAAAGAAAAGGTCTCTGAAGAGAAAAGGGGGTCACGTTATTCACCAAAGCACCAGAGGGTAGGACAAGAAACAATGGTTGGAAACTGATCAAAGAGAGAAGCTACCTGGAATTAAGGAGAAACTTCCTGACAGTGAGGACAATTAACCAGTGGAACAGCCTGCCTCCAGAAATCGTGGGCGCTCCATCACTGAAGATTTTTAAGAAGAGGCTAGACAGCCAATTGTCTGAGATGGTATAGGTCCTCCTGCTTAAACGGGGCTGGACTAGAAGACCTCCAAGGTCTCTTCCAGCTCTATTCTGTTCTGTTCTAGTATGAATTGATTTTTTTCTTGCTCTAAAAAGCATTTCATAAAAGCTAGATATGAAATGCTTTCAATTGCAAGGATTTTTACCACATTTTTCCTCCCCGGAATGTCTCCTGATGCTTTCCATGCCAAGATAAACATCATCCACTGGATTTTTGAATGTCAGCAGAGAGAGACAGACAGACAGACAGAGACAGGGAAAGGGAGGGGGAGAGAGAGGGGGGAAGGGGGAGAGGGAGGGAGGGAGGGACAGAGAGTGGAAGGGAGAGAGAGAGAGAGAGACAGAGAGGGGAAGGGGGAGGGAGGGGGAAGGGGGAGGGAGGGAGACACAGAGAGGGGGAGGGAGGGAAGAGAGGAGGGGTAAGGGGGGAGGGAGGAAAAGAGAGGGGAAGGGGGAGGGAGGGAGGGAGGGAGAAGCCTCTGAAGGGATAGGGAGGCATAAAAAACAAGAAATTCTTGGTGGCAGCCTCTCAAATACTGGAATACTGCTATCATGTCTCCCCTATTTCTTCTTTTCTTTAGACTAGCCAAACCCAAGTCCTGCAGCCATTCTTCGTATGTTTTAGTCTCCAGGAATTTAATCATCTTAGTTGCTCTTATCTGAATTTTTTCCAAACTCTCAACATCTTTTTTGTGATATGGTGACCAAAATTGGCTGCAGTATTCCAGGTGTAGTCTTACTAGGGTTTTATAAAGCGGTACTACTACTTTGGGTGATCTTGATTCTATGCCTCTATGCCTACTCCTGTAGCCCATCACAACTTTATTATTCTTTTGTATTCAAAGATGGAAACTCCAGATTTTTCTTCACATACATCTGACTGAGACACAAAGATGCCCTGTTTTTTGGGCCATTTTCCTCTGATGTTGCCTTCCTGTCATGTCCAATTCATGAATGAGACAGACTTAAATTATTCTTACCTGTACTGTTTTTCCCTCATAAACCAAGAGCATCTAAAAACCAAGAACATCCAAAAGCAGCCATCAAATGTGCAAAATTTGCTGTATATATCCAGGATAAAGTCAGGTGGCAAATAGAGGCTGGGATCAGAATGGGACTATTTCAGACTGATAATGGACATGCTCCTTTTCCTCTTATGTGCCCTCCTTAACATTCTGCAGGACAGCATTACACTGCGGTTCTTTTAGATCTTCAGAACTCCACTTGACTGCCCAGCCAGGATTAAGGTGATCACTTAGTTTAGCACAGGGGTATCAAACTCAATTTCACTGAGGGCTGCATCAGTATTGTGGTTGCCCTGGGGAGGGCAGGTGGGTGTGGCCAGAGTGGGTGCAGCCTATTGAGTGGGCGTGGATGGAATGGGTGTGGCTACTGGTGGGCATGGCCAGTTCTACAACATTCGCGTCAAGGGTGCCTGTCGGGGCCTGGGCAGGAGTGGGACAGATCTGAGGGTCTCTGGCAGAAGGGGGTGGGACTGGGGCAAGTGCCAAGGCATGGTCCACTGGGGCAAGTGCCAAGATGGCCACCACAAAATTGTACCTTGGCTCCCAGCTGGCCTGGGCCAGGGTCAAGGCAGCGGGGGCCGTTCCCTCACTGTTTCCAGGATGGCTTCGCAGGCCACATGAAACCACTTCGCAGGCCGCATCTGGCCCCCGGGCCTTGTGTTTGACATGTCTGGTTTAGCATAACTCTTCTCCTCATCCCCCTTTTAAGAGAGCATGGTAAACTCTGGAATAGCAGTTGTTGCCCATATACATGTAATTCCACTCCTGAAAGGACTGCTAGAGTCTGGATCCCTCTGTCCTTTCCCCATGACAATTACAGTAGGTCTTCCCCACTCCCAATTGCTGGTCTGACGTCTCAAGGTCTCTTGCTCTGTCCCTTGCCCTGTCCCTTAGCCCAATCTGGTTGCTCACCTAGGCAGCTTCACTCACCTGGCTCAGTTCACTTCCATTGTCCTTCATTGCATCTGGCACCTCCTCTGTTCATTGACTCACCCACTCATATGGATCAGCTCATTTCTGCTGTTGTTTGGTACATCTGGCACCCTCTCTGTTCACTGGGTCACTTACTTGCCTGGTGTATCTGGTGCTCCTTCTAGGCACTGGTTCAGCCATTTGCCTGGTGGCTTCTCTCCCTCCCTCCCTCCCCCCCTCTCCCCCCATTGCCTCCTGTGCAGCCCCACCAAGCAGGGATCGTGTGATGGGGTGGTGGCAGGTCCCATCTTTCTCCTCTTCCTATGTTTACTTTGCACCCATCTCTGTTTGCCTCCTGCCATTTCTCCATTTGTCTGTCTCTCTGTGTCTCTCTTTCTTTTCTACCTCTCTCTTCCTTTGTTCCCCCTTTGTGCCACATGCCTGTTCCTTTTATATCCTCGTCCCCTGGGCCATCCCTTCCCTCCTAATTTCTGGCAGGTTGTCTGCCCAGTGATCATCCACTGGCTGAGCATCGCTTCCTGCAACTGTCCCAAGTCCTGCCATACTGAGTGCCATAGTCCCAGGACATCTCCAGCCGGGCAATCACCCAGGTGCCTGCAGTGATAGGGGCTGCCAATCAGCTGGGCTCTCCTGCCTCTCCCTTGCCCCAACTGGATCTCCCTGAGATCCCTCTGGAAGTGGTGCAAGGTGATCAGACCCTGGGACACCCGCAGCCAAGCTGCTCAGCTGATTAGCACTACACCCCACTGTCGACTGTCCCTACTATACACACTCCCTGCTACACAAAGAAAGGAAGAAAATTCCTAAGTAAAGGAGCTGCTTCTAACACAGCTTCCTTTCTGTTTATTTTTTACTTTGTTCAGCTTGAGTTAGGAAAGAATGGGGCATAGAGAAAGACACAGGAAGGAACTGCCAGACCTGCCCCTTTCTTGTTGTAACTCTACAGATGACAAAAGTTTTTTTTTTTTTTTAATTTCCTGGCTGATGACAAGTAAAAGAAGGCAGTAAAACTGGAGGAACTGACCGAATGGTTTGATTATCACACTGTACCATCCAAAACTAGGACAGTGCCATGTAGCAGTGACTTAGAACAGATGCATTACTGAAGAAGCAGGATAGAGTTTGGCAATTTGGGTAGAGAATTGCGTAACAGTAGAGGCTGAAGTAAATAGCACTTGAATTCAGCCATGAGGAAAGACCTTTGGAAGTTCTAATATTCACCATCCTTCTGAGAAAAGTTCTGCTCCTTGTTACCTTAGGTCTACTTCATTCTAAAAATATATTTTAGGCCAGTCAGTTTTCCCCAATTTGGTACCTTCTAGATTTCTCAATCCAATTGTAGTCCTAAATGCATCTGAAGGATTGCAGGCTGGAGGAATGTGATAGCATTGAAATGCTACTATTCGGCAAGCGGGAATCAGAAATCTGAGCTGTAGACTATGCAAAATATGTCATGCACTTGTGCTTATGTTATCTCATAATCGTTCATCATCCTGCACTAAGAGAGGACTTACTCTTAACACAACAATGAGGGGATTGCTAAAGAACCACTTTGGTATTTGAACCAGAGACGCCCCAAGAACACCACCCATGATGAGGAAGATACAGGATTTTGATCACTAAATAAATTCTTCTCCTTTTTGACTAAAATAAGTGACAGTTAAGCTTGATTTAGCTTGTCCAAAACAGTGTAGCCATTGACGCATAAGGGAAGAGTAGTTGCAAATGCAGACCTCCTAAATCTCAGTTACATGTTGTATGAAGATGCATGTCCTGTATGGTGATTGGTTGATCCAGTTTCCTGTTTATACTTTGTTGTTTGAGTGTCCCCAAATGTAAATGCAACAACTATTCAACTTTCTGAATTACAGACACATACATTACCTGACATGAGCCTTTATCTCTTGCTTGCCACTGGGATTTCCTGTTTAAATTGATCTCCCCATGATTTAGTTGAAGAGAGAATGGGGAGGAAGAGAGTGATCATATTTCTCTTTCTCCCTTTTTTCTCATCAACATATAAAGTTCTCCCATCATCATTGCCACTGGGGCTACTTTTAAACTTAGATAATTTCAAAGACAGTCATGGGTTATCCATGTGAAATGCTATGGCTATCTAAAAAATAGATATTTCAGATTTCAGAATTTTAATTTGCCTTAGGACCACAATCCCCACAAAGTTTGGAATGTTGTGAAACTCTTGAAGAGTGGATTATGTCTACCAATGGCTCAGGTTGTTGCTGAAGTCCACCAAAATGGGTTTGTGACGAGTATGTCATACCTTGGGTCTCACCGGATGCCCAGGAAGTCTCTTAACTTGGAATTGTCCTTGTGAGCTTCTTCAAACCCATAATTCGGTTCTCAGAGGGACAGTGACATAAGGGGACAATGAGACCAAGGTCAGAAGCCCACCTCTACCGAGATATCTCTGTTACCTCTTCTTTCTGATGTATTTTGAAGCCCCATTCTGTATGGAATATGCAGCTCAACATCAAATAATCCATCTACAAACTGATCCAAGTGCAGGAAATGGGGCAAAATAGCTATAATGACTTTTTTCCATCCAGTTAGGAATCACTGGTAGAAGAAGTCTCAAGTGTATTTTTGCATGCTTTGTGTGCCTGTTTAATAATTGCTTTCCTTTTAATTCCTGCCTGTACATTATTTTCTGTGTTAAACTAAAAGTGAAAATGTGTTCCCTCCATAGCCTAATCCTCATTTATTCCTTTAATTTCCAGCAAGCAACATTGTTTTCATGTCTACCAAAGCTGTTTTAGTGGATTTTGGGCTTAGTGTTCAAATGACAGAAGATGTTTACTATCCCAAAGAACTTCGAGGAACAGAGGTAATGATTCTCCATGAGAAGATAGCCTTATCGCTGCCCCCTCTGTATCATAGTAATTGCAGAAGAATGAGATGGAACCCTGGATAATGGAAATATTCATATTAGTAAAGTTGGAAGGGACCTTGGAGGTCATCTAGTCCAACCCCCTCTATCCATCTTCTCCAGTTTATTATGCATAACCACCATAGTGTGGTTAAACAGCTTAGACATAACATTTAGAATTTATCAAGATTGATACTAGCTAAACATTCCTATTGGATAGAATTGCACCAGCATCCTTTTGTCTAATGGTAAAAGAAAACCAGTGAAACACTACAGAAGTGTGTTTCAGATCTAGACAGGTTCAAACAGAAGCAAGCCGCCCTACACATTTGGTCATTATTATCAATATAAATCTTTATTAAATCTTAAATAGGATAGTCTGTTATGATTTCTTGCCCTTTGTTCACCATGCATCACTGCATCAAAATTGGCAGCCAAATTTGGCACCAACAATTCTCCTATTTCTCTGAGCAAATGTTCAAATTTTGCATGGCTTTTTAGTGAGATCAGCAAAAAAGGCAAAGATTATTTTTTTAAAAAAACCTTCTAGGTCAAACTGCTTGGCTTTAAAGGTGATTCCAGGGTATAGTTGTCACAGAAGCTAATTTTCTTTTGGATTTTATTTGCAGATTTACATGAGTCCAGAAGTGATTCTCTGCCGAGGCCACAATACAAAAGCTGACATCTACAGCCTAGGAACAACCATCATCCACATGCAAACTGGCATTCCACCATGGGTCAGTCGATATCCTCGTGCAGCCTATCCCTCCTATCTCTACATAGTAAGTTTATTTAATTGATTGTCCAATAGATATTCAGCTGCCAATTGGCAACCTCTTTCTATAGACTTTATAGTAGTGCAGACTGGGAGTTGAAGTCCACTCATCTTAAACTTAGCAAGGTTGAAAAACACTGGGTTAGATAATTGGGTAAAACCTTTTGGTTTTGTAAACGTGATGAGGTTTTTAGAAATGGAACTGTGTTGATTTGCTCTCAGTATCATGCAGGGTGTGTTTAGCAGCAGAACTGGAAGAAAACCATAGTATGGTAGGATTTGTTGAAAATCTAGGGTATATTTGGGAAATCTACTTTCTTTTCCAGCATTAGAGTTTTGCATTCATTAATCCTAACCCCAAACAAAATATGAGGCAACGTGAGTTGGCAACTACATTGCTTATTGTTTATTATATGTTTATTACCTCTGAACGGGCTTAGACAATAAGGTATGATAAATAACATACAATAATCATCATATTATCAATATTTTAAGTATACCAAATAGTAACTGCAGTTAATCTAAATCATATGCCAATCATTGAAATACAATGCCTTATAATACAAATCAACTGATAGGTTCATGCCAAGCTCTGGGGTACAGGTGATCCTCAATTTTTGACTGGCTGTTCAGCAACAGTTCAAGGCTAAAATGGCCAGGGTTACTCATCACATGATCGTTTTTCAGTGATCAGCCTGCATTTATAGATTGTTTGGTTCTGTGACTATGATTAATTACCTTTTTTGCTAGAAACAAAAAACACTTAATTGGGATAATGGATTTGCCTAAAAATATCATGTTCATGTTACAACCACTGCAAGAAATTGGGCGCAGTCACATGGTGATCTGCTTAAAAGCTAGAACAACTTACAAATATAATTCTGGATTCAATCGCAGTCATATGTCAAGGTCTACTTGTCTCTCTCATTCTAATCTCAGTTCACAAGGGCACATTGGAAAAGCCATGCTTTTGCTTCTGTGTACCACATATGCACCCAGTGCATCCTGGTGCTGCTGGTGCCGCTGCCATGAGGTGCATCCTGTTGGTATTGCCACCGCCACGAGGTGCATGCCGCGACACACCTCATGGCTGTGGCAACAACAGCGGGACGGACCTCACAGTGGTGCAATGCATCTTGCAATGGTGGCAACAACAGCAGGACACGCCTCACAGTGGCAGCCATGGCAGCGGAACACACCTTGTGGCAGCAGCAACAGCCCTGTGGCATGGTAAGTGGGTGTAGGGTACGTGGGGTAGCTCCCCACTTCCCCCACCAGCTCCCCACTTTCCCCCACCTTGCCTCACCTCATGCCTTAGCAAATAAGTAGGGCTTATTTTGGGGATAAGGCTTATATAAGGCCCACCCCAAAATATCAGGCTAGGGCTTATTTTTGGGGTAGGTCTTATTTTCAGGGAAACACGGTAAGTACCCATCCTGTTTCTTTAAAGAAGGATTCTAATCCATGCTTCTGCGTGCAGTATATTCATGCTTATCATCCTCTATTCTCATAGATATCTAAACACTGCTTTTCTTGGTGGGATGTGTTTGTATGCATATGTATGTGTGCATTTGGGTGTGGTGGAAAGGATTGTTGCTTTGCGTTTCTTTAAATATGCAAGGAGTCAAACTTGAAAGCTTCCAAAATTCCTTCCAAATGTGTGATTACCCGCTAGTCCAACCCTGGGGAAGAGACAACTTCAGTTGTCAAGTAGCACAGGAAAAAGGATTAAGCAGTGGCCTCTCAGCACCACTACAATCTAAATTTCTGTGTAAAACCTTCCCCAACTGGTTGATTGGGAACTCCCATGTTTCCATTGTATTAGAGATAATCATAGCTATTCTGTTGTATTCAATCCAGACAACTGAGATGGTGGTCCCATAATTATGTACCAAGCAGCATAGAGTTAACATTCATATTCACAGAAAACTAAGGTCAGAGGGGAGATTTTTGGTATTTGGCTTGGGAAAAAAATAGAAGTATACTTAGTCCTGGGAGGTTTGACTACTGAAATATAGTGAAAACAAAACATTGTGGATATGAATCTATGAAGGAAGCTGGGATGCTGCTGTGATACCTTTCAGGCCTTTTGCATTCCCATTGTGTAAAACTTCACAAACCTCAACAGGATTGTGGATATGGGAACAATTTGGAGAATGAAGATGTTTTGTTGATCTGCATGGGAGGGAGATAAAAACTACAAGCTGAGAAATTTGCAAGCAAAAGATGAATTTTTAAAAAGCAGCTCTGAGCAATTCAGCTTACTTGTCTCTCTACAGCAGCGGTTCTCAACCTATGGGTTGCGACCCCATTTGGGGTTGATCGACCATTTCTCGGGGGTCGCCAAACAAGGCAATCCGCCATTTTCCCCCTCGAGGGGGCGCCGCCGCGCATGCGCGCCGCGCATGGAGGCGCCGCGCATGCGTGCGGCACCGCCCCGTGCATGGGGGCAGCGCCGTGCATGGGGCGGCGCATGCGCGACACATTTGTGTGACGGGGGTCGCCGTCACACAAACGTTGAGAAGCACTGCTCTACAGAATCTAAACTTGACCAGCCAGAACTATAAAATTCATCAGTACTGTTTTTGAATGTAATGAAAATTGGTTCAAAGCTTAGTTGATTAAAATTAGGCAGAATTATACAATCAGAAATAGAACATTAAAAATATATTCAATATTTCTATATAGACTTTCACATATACAAGTCCTGCCTGACTTTGAAACCAATTTAAGTATTTCCAGTTGCAAAGCTGGCAAATTATGCCTTGGGAGGTTGTGCTTTGTTCCTATTTTGGGGGCAAGTTTTAATGTGAAGCTAGCTCTGCTTCCAGAATTCTTCTGGCTTTTTGTCTCAGGAGTAGAATGACCATTTTCCAACCTGTGAATCAGAGAAAGGAAATTCCTAAAGCGGTAACTTTACAGCACGCATATATTCGTGCAACTCTAGGGAACTTTTTCCTGCCTCCTCTTAAGCACCATGTTTCAATCTTCCTTTTTTAAACATTCTTTTGATAGATCCATAAACAGGCTCCGCCACTTGAGGACATTGCTGAGGATTGCAGTGCTAATATGAGACAATTATTGGAAGCTGCTCTTGAAAGGAATCCCAACCAGAGACTTTCGGCTACAGAATTGCTCAAACATGAAGCCTTGCACCCATCACGGGAGGAACAGCCTCGGTGTCAGAGTTTGGACTCAGCTCTTTTTGCACGAAAGAAGTTGCTGGAGAAAAATGAGTCGGAACTCTCTGAGAATATTTCAGGTATAATCTGCTCTTATCTCCAGCTGCTTCCAGACAACTTCAGTCCTTATAACAAAGACCCACGCACTTCCCTAGCCATGTAATAAAAGTCTGAGAGCCAGCAAGACCAATATTTAAGTGCAAGGCAGAATCCTTCTTAATTGAAAAGGCTTTAGATGAAGTGTGTCATTCCGCAAAATCAGTTCACATTGGCATCTAGGAATCTCAAGTATTTTGGAGCTTTCAAAATTGTGTAATCTAAGTGGTCCTCAGGTTACAATCACTCATTCAGCAATTATTCAAACTTGCCATAGGACTGAATGACGGGAACTTATATTGGATCCTCAGAATTCTGGTCATTGCAATGTTCCTGCAGTCATATGCTTGCAATCCTAATACTTGGATTGCCATTATAACCCAAGGACTATCTATAATGTTCTGCAGAATATGGAATATTAGATTATTTTCTAAAAATGGTTAATAGTAGTAACTGCTCAATAGTAGTAACTGTGAGAAGGACCTCGGAGTCGTAGTGGACAATCACCTAAATATGAGCCAGCGTTGTGCTGCAGCTGCCAAAAAGGCCAACACAGTGCTAGGCTGCATTAACAGAGGGATAGAATCAAGATCACGTGAAGTGTTAATACCACTTTACAATGCCTTGGTAAGGCCACACTTGGAATACTGCATCCAGTTTTGGTCACCATGATGTAAAAAAAGATGTTCAGACTCTAGAAAGAGTACAGAGAAGAGCAACAAAGATAGAGGCTAAAACATATAAGGAACGGTTGCTGGAATTGGATATGTCTAGTTTAATGAAGAGAAGGACGAGGGGGGACATGATAGCAGTGTTCCAATATCTCAGGGGCTGCCACAAAAAAGAGGGAGTCAAGCTATTCTCCAAAGCGCCTGAGGGCAGGACAAGAAGCAACGGGTGGAAACTAACCAAGGAGAGAAGCAACCTAGAACTAAGGAGAAACTTCCTGACAGTGAGAACAATTAACCAGTGGAACAACCTGCCTCCAGAAGCAGTGAATGCTCCAACACTGGAAGTTTTTAAGAAGAAACAGCCATTTGTCCGAAATGGTATAGGGTTACCTGCCTGAGCAGGGGGTTGGACTAGATGACCTCCAAGGTCCCTTCCAACTTTACTATTATTATTATTATTATTAATCATAATAGAAGACAAACCTGAGTGCAGTTGGTTGCGGTGCCTGTCGCCTTCATTTTCCTAGAACTTCATTATTTTTGTCAATAATGTCTTTTAACAGTGCAGTCAGAAGTAAATTTCATAGTTCATCAGGTTACTTTTCTCCTAGCCAATGTAAGGTCAATATGGTTTTTATTTAATAATTGTGGCCTTCATTCCTGATTTTCTTGTATTCGTTTGTCAAATAATTCCTGTTCTGACAGAGCTAAGACAAATCTGCATCAGCTCACATAAAGCTCTATTTTATATTTGATATAAAACTTCATTAGAAATGTGCTCATCCCTAATTAATTTTGTAATTAATTTACAAAATTAATTATTTCTCATGCTCATTATACATTTAGTGGATGCCAAGGAGGGATTTAATGAAGAATACTTTAAGGCTTGCTAAAGGAACAAACATCTATTTAGTTGATGATAATGTTTAGCTAACAAGAGTAAAACTTTATCTTCCTCTTTGAAGTTATCTTAATTGGGAGCCATCATTATGTATACAATTCCTCTACTTATTTATAGAGGAAAGAGAGGAGCTCATAAACCATAGAATCACAGAACTGTGGAATTGGGAGGGACCACAAAATTAGTCCAATTCTTTGCAATGTGGAGGAAAACCAATTAATGCATCCTGAAACGGTAATTGACCAATCTCCAGAGATGGAGAACCCCCAGTCTACATAGTTAATTGTTCTGAAACTACTTTTCTAGTGTATAATATATTTTGTCCTTTAATTTTTCCTTGTTAGATTCTTCAAGTCTTGGGATTACTGAGGAATCGGATTTGCTCAGGAGACAGCGTTCATTATATATAGACCTTGGAGCATTAGCTGGCTACTTTAATATTGTCCGGGGACCAACAGCATTAGATTATGACTAGATTTGAGGATCTCTCATGTGGAATTGAACAGGAATACTATATATATAGAAGGATAGGAGAGAGAGAAAAGCTTTAATTGGCTGTGCTTGGATTCTTTGAACTCTTAACAATGTTTAATGAATGTACTGTACTGGATGAATTCCGTTGCTACTTCTAATCACTCCCCCATCCCAGTGCTCTGGTAACTGATTTTTAATACGGTTACACTGATTGGTTTGCTTTGATTATCAAGTGAAATAATCATCTCCTTTTTAAATAATATTTTGAGACTTTTTTGTCATACTTCCTAACTCTCAGTGCTGTTGCAATGACCTCCTTTTTTCAGACTGAGGGTGTGGCAAATTTAAGAATTCTGTACATAAGCTAAGAACATTTCCAAGAGAACAAGACTGAATTCAACATCACCTAGTTTCCTAATTAATATGTATTGTTTAATTCATGTATATCTACTGGTTTGAGGAAGAAAACCCCTATTGTGACTTGCACCTCCTGTTTAAATTTTTAATTATCAAGCTGCTAGACAGAGAATTGTCAAAATGCCTGTTCCCCATGCTGGCTGCAAATATTTTCTATCAAAATAGTTCTTTGGCATGAATGGGAACTATGCCAATTCTTGAGATAAATTCTGTCATGTGAATGTAAATTACACAAAGACTTAGTAACTGTAATCATAGGCTATTTGAATGTTAATACATTGTATAATGCTCATGAGGGTGAGCTTAATTTAATTTAAGAACTATGTGTTAAAAATAGACATGTAGTTAGGTGTTATGATTGTTTTATTTCCTATGGGAAAAATACCTCCTTTTGTTTTTGAAGATTTGAGTACATTTAAAACAGTGTTTTGAATGATAGTAAAACTGGTTCAAGAACAAAGCTTTGTACATCCTGTGGGATGAATATATCAACTTTTATAAAACAGTTTAGTAGTTTATTAAGCTATTTTTTAAGAGGCATACTATGTATGTTATAAATAGAGTGATTAATAACATCATGGTTTAGATTTTATATTTAAATGTCTTTGTATGTAAAATGCATTTGTATAAATTTCTTGAAGTCCTAATTCCTGAATCAGCTATTGTAAAAAATAATAAATTTCTATTAAACATATTTACTGTGAAAGTGATATGAAATTATTAGTTTGTTTTGTTCCATTTCTCTTTTGTTGTTAAGCATGTTTATTTCAAAGCTGTTGGGAGGGCAAATTTTCAGAGACTGTTACTTAACTTCTGGATTTTCTAGAGAATCACAGGGAAGCTTCTTGTGACAAAAAGGGTGGTCAAGTTCTGTCTTCCACATCTGTCTGTCTGTCTTTCTGTCTATCTATCTGTCTGTCTGTCTATCTATCTATCTATTTACCATCCACATAATCTACATCTCAATGCAATTATATGACTCTTGGCAGTTCACAATAATAAAGCAGAATAATCAGACCAAAATATTACAATATACATTAAAGCAATATATAAAGCAATACACAAAAGTCTTAAAAAGTTCTGTTTTTCAGGAAAGCTAATATGTTGGAGAAAAGTGGACCACTACAGAAAATCAATGCTTTTGGCTTTAGGCCACCTAATCCCCTCCAAATGAGAACAGCCTCCTGTTTTCCCCACCACAATATTAGTCTAGTTGGTGGTCATGAAGATGGGAGCCATTTGAGTCCAATTCTCCCTTCACAAGTAAGATCACAAGCTGATACTAAGTAAAGGCCCCTTGTCTACAGCACAACTCACTATGGCCAACTCACAGGGGCCAACAGGACAACTTGTTGCAGGACAAGAACTATACTAGCATCAATGAAGTGGTGGAATAGAATCATTAAAGAAAGAATGCCAAAGGAGGGACAAAATGAAATCTGAATAACAAAAATTAAAATAATGTTTAATTATTTTAAATAAATTCAATTATTAAATTGTCCAGCAGCAAGTTGGCCATGGTGAGTTGGCCATAGTGAGTTGTCCCATTCCGTGCGCGTGCGCAGACGCACACACACAGAGACATGTCTGAAGTTAAGAATGACAAGGATCCAAGATCAAAGACAATCTACCAAGTGGTATCCACTTCTTTGGAAGTAACAGGTCAAAAGGAAGTCCAGATAAATTGGCAAGAGAGTCACTCTATAAGACTTGACTCAAGTGAAGTTTAGATTAGGCATTACTTAATTGGTTCTAAATTAAATTTATTGACTGCCTATCTCATAGAAACTCTGGGTGGCATTTGTGAACAAATGTAATTGTAAATTATATTTACAAGTTGATTTAGCTTGTTGCAAACAAATTTTGCATTTTTCTTAAATCTGATCTATCAAACATTCAGGCTAATTGCCTTATGCATTTTTTATACATAGGTTTATTATATGTTAATTAGCAAACATAAGATGATCTGAAAATATTATTTGTGTCGTGAAATACATATCTGAGTAGAGGTTTGTGATCATAGTCTATATTAGATTTTTCATTCACATTTTTTAAAAACATGCTCAAATCCGTCACTCATATTCTGAAAGAAACATGGCACTCAGGTCACAATTTAGAGTGGTGTGTGGTGTGGTTCTGGTGTGAATTCCTACAATGACCATATTCCTACTTCAAACTGGAATCCAGCATTTTTGTGGCAAAGGACAGCTGGAATAAGGTGGAGGACCAATTATACCCACTGTATAGATATACAATTTGGTCCTATACAAATAAAAATTTAGGAACAATTACTATCATTTAAATAGAAATATAATACCTATCATCAAAGAGAAAGGGAGCAACAATGCCTTGCATGCATAGTTAAATTATATATTTTATTGGCATCAAACTTGATGTCACCAATTTAGTGGATTTAAAAAAGAACTAGAGACTTATCGGTAGCTACTAGTTTTGATAGCTGTATGGTACTGCCTGAATATAAAATCAAGCTATTGAAGAGCATCAGTAGAAGACGATTATCATTATCATATTTGGCTTGTACAGTTTCTTAATATATTAAATTGTCTTTTATTTGATGCAAAGTGTCTTATTAGATGGTCCAGAAGACACCCAGGGAAGACTTCTGGTTCTTCGAAGGTGCAAATCAGAATAAAAAGTACTGGGTAGATAGATCAATCAATCATACCTGAGATAATGTTTTGCCCTTTCTTAATTGAATATGGATCAGGCCATGATAAAATCAAGGCTTTATGGATCAGAACATTATGAAACCAAGCAATTGATGAAAGCTTTACTGTAGAATGCATTATTATGTACTCTTCTATGTTACACTGTGGCAGTACATTTACCAGGAAGGCAATGTGCTGGGAATTAGATGTGCTTTTATAATATTTGATTTGTTATACATAAATAGGGCAGAGGCAAGTCATAGGTCTAAAGCCTCTTCTAGCATGGGATACACTCCAAATGAGTCAAGATATATAACTCCTAATATTCTCAATTGGTCAAAATTCCTAGACTAGGAAAAGCTGTTTTATAATATTTAGCTAGCTCTCACATCTCTATGCCAATTCTTCAACATTCATACCTTAGAATCTCTCTTAAATGTGATAATATAACAGTAAAGTCTCTGTCACCTTCTCCAACAGGTATTCCTCATCCAAAAGGCAAAGGTAGGTAGGTAGGTAGGTAGGTAGATAGATAGATAGATAGATAGATAGATAGATAGATAGATAGATAGATAGATAGATAGATAGATAGATAGCCTACTCTCTTGCTATATATGTTTGGCTTACTCTTTATATGTAGGACATTCCAAGAGTGGTTTGTTAATTTCCTCCCACATACAGAGAGCCAAGAATCCTGTGGCACAATGAAGATTAACAAATGTTGTTGACTACATTACCAGATCCATGAACTATTCTGAGAAACAAGTATATATCTCTAATTGGATGACTGGATACCGATGAAATAAATTGCAGTCTATGAAAGCATGTGACAAATTACTTAATTAACATTTAAAGTACAGAGGTTTTTTTAATAACAATAGATCTCCCTGGATAATAAAACAAACTTGGGAGTCACATGTATATCTTTCAATGCAACTTTCAACAAGCAGAGTCCTAGTAGACAATCACTTAAATATGAGCCAGCAGTGTGCTGCAGCTGCCAAAAAAGCCAACACAGTGCTGGGCTGCATTAACAGAGAGATAGAATCAAGATCACCTGAAGTATTAATACCACTTTACAATGCCTTGGTAAGGCCACACTTGGAATACTGCATCCAGTTTTGGTCACCACGATGTAAAAAAGATGCTGAGACTCTAGAAAGAGTACAGAGAAGAGCAACAAAGATGATTAGGGGACTGGAGGCTAAAATATATAAGGAACGGTTGCTGGAACTGCATATGTCTAGTTCAGGGGTAGGCAACCTCGGCTTGAGTCAGCTATGCTGACTCAGGAATTCTGGGAGTTGAAGTCCATGAGTCATAAAAGAGCCGAGGTTGCCTACCCCTGGTCTAATTTAACGAAGAGAAGGATGAAGGGGGATATGATAGCAGTGTTCCAATATCTTAGGGGCTGCCACAAAGAAAAGGGAGTCAAGCTATTCTCCAAGGTGCCTGAAGGCAGGACGAGAAGCAACGGATGGAAACTGATCAAGGAGAGAAGCAACTTAGAACTAAGGAGAAACTTCCTGACAGAACAATTAACCAATGGAACAACCTGCCTCCAGAAGTGGTGAATGCTCCAACAATGGATGTTTTTAAGAAGAGACTGGACAGCCATTTGTCTGAAATGGTGTAGGGTTCCTGCCTGAGCAGGGGGTTGGACTAGATGACCTCCAAGGTCCCTTCCAACATTATTATTATTATTATTATTATTATGATGATGATGATGATGATGCAGTACTCTAGTTTAGATGGTAGGATTTGTTGAAAATGTCACATTGGAGTGTGAAATGGAATAATTCCCATCAGTCAACTTGTCATGGCCAACTAGCCGTGCTCACCTCGCCATAGCCAATTCACTGCAGCCAACCCATCACAGCCAACTCACCTCAGGACAATTCCGCATGGGCAACTTGTCATGGGATAAATCTCTGTGAGATAATTCAACAATTCAATTTAATTATTTAAAATATTTTTAAAAATATTTTAATTTTCATCATTCACATTTCATTTTGTCCCTCCTTTGGCATTCTTTCTTTAATGATTCTATTTCACTATGTCTTCAATACCAGTGTATTAGTGTAATTCGTGTCCCATGGCAAGTTGTCCCCTGATGAGTTGACCATGGCAAATTGGCCACAATGAGGTGGCCATGGCAAGTTGGCCATGTAACTGACTTTAATCTCAATATAAAATCAACTGGGAAACTGAGCATCTTAGACCAAGCTAAGTCCCAAAACAGTATAGAATTCCTGGAAGCCTGTCACTCAGACAAATCAAACAGGCACATAGAGATAAGCAACATCTACATACCATTCAAAGAGACAATAAAAAAGTTAAAAAGGAAGCAAAAGACAGTTCAATCAAAGGTCTCCCATCAAAAAGTCATTAGTATATAAACAGAGAGCCAACCCCACTTTCTTCTAGAATTGATAATGTTATGTTGGGTAATTAAGTGTCTGTTTATTTATTTACCTATTTTTTAAAAAAAAAAACCTTACAGGTAGTCCTGTAAAGTTAAACGTTTCTCAAAAGCTGGTTATGACTAAATTCCGGAGTTACAATGTCTGTGCCCCTTAGAGCTATTTGCAGCACTCTGCTGTCATGTGACTGGGATTTCTCTAGAAATCAGCATTTTCTTGTGGTTTCCAAAAAATCCCCACCCAATGGATTTGTTTAACAACTGCCACATTTTCTTTATGACCACCATATTTGCTTAACAACAATAAATAAGGTTGTAAAATTGGGTTTGATCACATGATGACCAGCTTTATGACAGTCACATTTTATGACCATAATGGACAGGCTCAATTGCAGTTGTACTGTAAGTCAAGGACTACCCTTATTCCCATAGATTTTTGCATGTTCAGACTTTGCATCAATCCTTCTTTACAAATTCCTCTGGCTAGCAAGAAGGATTTGCTCACAAAATTTGTAAAATGCAACAATATGAAATGCTTTTAATAATAATAATAATAATAATAATAATAATAATAATAATAATAATAATAATAATAATAATAATAATAGTAAAGTTGGAAGGGACCT